CAGGTGAGGAGCAAGGCAAAAATGTTTTTATTCCCTCAGCCTTCTCCATCTTTCTGGTAACCAGGTCTCTTGTTTCCCCTGAAGAAATCCCACATTTTCCCTAGTCTTCCTTTTGTCACCAACATACCTATAGAAGCTTTTTTCTTTATGTTGCCCTTGATGTCCCTGGACAGATTTAATTCTCTCAGAACTTTAGTTTTCCTAACCTGATCCCTGCTTGCTTGTAGAACTTCCTTGTACTTCTCCCAGGCTACCTGTTCCTGTTTCCACCTTTTGTAGATTTGTTTTTGTGTTTTAGTTTGTCCAGGAGCTTCTTGTTCATCATGCAGGCCTCCTGCAATTTTTGCCTGGCTTCGTCTTTGTTGCAATGCATCATCGCAGAACTTGGAGAAGGGGATCCTTGAATGTTAACCAGCTTTCTTGGGCTCCTTGCACGGTTTTATCTCATGATATACTACCAAGCAGATCCCTGAAGAGGCCAAAGTCTGCTCTCCTGAAATCCACAATAGTGAGCTTGCTGTGCACCCTCCTTGGTGCTCTAAGGAACTCCGCTATGTCATGGTCATTGCAGCCCAGGCAGAGGGGCGTGTGTGTGGGTCAGAGTGCCTATTTCTGGACTCTATCAAGCAGGGCAGTCTTTTGCTCTATATTGCTTTAGCTGACAGCAAGAAAATGACATTTAAAAAACCCCGAAACAAGCTGAATGCATACATAATATCACCTTTTCAGGTCTGAGTCACTGAGAGGAAGTAGTTGTCTGTGATATGAATGGAAAGGGAAACATCTGCAAAATAGTCAAACTCTCAGATTAGATGTTAGTCCTGTTTCTGAAATGCATTTAACACTGGGGGTAAGATGACTGAGATGTGCAAGTGCCAGAACACACATTTGCTGCTCAGCTGTGTGGGAATGAATGAGAGGATGAATGATTGTTTTTATTTGCCAGTCTGATTTGTGCAGGAGATTTGTGGGATGGTACTCAGGCATGAATGGAATGGGAGCTGTTGGCTTGTTTAGGATAGCAGAACAAAATAGAGAAAGGATGTCTCTGCTACCTCTAAATACTGTCAGAGGGGAAAAGAGTATTTAATTGAAAAGACAATGCTGGCAGAGAAATGCCCTGGTATGAATGAGCTATAAGTAAATATAGCTGACTATGAAAAAGTTAATAATCCTAGGCAAGGAACTAACTTTCAGAGAGGGGTAGGCAAAAAAACCCTCCGACCTTTTGCTTGTTTTAAAGGAGAGCTGAGACAGTTTACAAATAGGATTGCATGATGCTATTTGTCTGGCAGAATGAGGACTAAAATTCATCCACTCTGAGGTCTTTTTCAGTCCTAGGCTCCTTTGTTCTACAAAGGATTTACATCAGACCTATGCATTGCACAGCCTCCCTGAGCACATGCTACCCACTGAGGACTTTCTTTGGCCAAGCACATGTGGATAAATAATTTGTTTTTCCTGTTTGACCTCTGCAGGTCAAAGCTTCCACCAGGAATAAGGTGGTGCCTCTTAGCCAGAGGGGGCTGGCTGCATGGGGAGTTAAGAGGCAGTGGGCCAGGTTTGAGGTATCAGGATTATTTCTCTGCAAAGATTTTGAGATTGTGCTTCCAGAACTGAGATCAAGAGGACGCTGGGAGGACATTGAGAGATGGCATATATGCACAGGGGCTGTAGGATTCAATGGGAGTCATAATCAGCAATGACTGTGGAATCCAAGGATGAGCCCTCATGTTTATAAACATTGTGGGCTAATTGCTGTGTACTGGCAATTTCCTCTCCATTAGGAGGTTAGATCAGCCTTTGTAACCATCAGCTACCATCTGTAGCTTTGTCTTTCCTAATGTTTTTTACCTCCTGATGCATGTTCTCACCCAAAATGTGTTGCTGTGAGCTGCTGACCAGTGAGAAGCAGTTGCAGCAAGCCTAAGTGGTTGATATTGGTGGGTTTTCATCCTAGGGGCTATTTGCCCTAGGTCTTGCCTTCTCAGCTACTCCATAACACTCTGGGACAGGCAGAGGGAGCAGGGATCTGGAGTGAGGTGGTGGACAAAATAATTGAGTTTTAATCAAAATGTGAATCAGCAAGCAGGAAACACTAACTTATATAAACAATATTAAACTTATGAGCATTTTATGGAGAGGAAAGAGGTATTCTCAGAGAAAGAATTATTCTTATTGGCAGTTTTAACCTAGCAGTAGTTCTGGCTAATTCACAAGAGCTTAACTAAAATCTGTATCTGTTCCTCTAGGGAATGTTATTATATATTACACTCACATTTCTACCGAAAGTGGTGATGTATCGCTGTCCCTTTCTCTGTGATATGTGCCATAGATGGAAGCCTTAATTCCACAAGATCATTAAAAAAATATTCTAAAATAGCTTTTAATTAGTCCATCTTTAATTAAGGAAAGAGGGTCTGTAATTTAAAAGTCTATTTTTAAGTATGGTAAATGTACAGAGAAAAAATAGATCAAAAATACACTCTTGGGGAAAAGAAACAGCTCTCTTAACAACAGGAGGTACTTTCTGTGGTTAGTCAACTCACCTGGTTGTATCGACACTTGTGCTCTGAAATATCTGAGAATTAGTCATTCTCACTCTTTCTGGTACTGCTTTTTCATTTAGGGGGTTTGTTGACTTTTTTCATATGCTGAAGAGGGAAATAATCTGCACTTGTTTTGTTTTTTTTTTTTGCTTTTTTAAAATAAATCAGTTATAATTAGTCAGTCACTTAATTTGAACACCACAAAAAGAAACTTTGTTTAAAAAAGGGCTACTGCTTTGTATTTAATCTTAGTGATTTGAAATTAAATTTTGATTCAGGTGATTAGCTACTTTTCTGGAGACTCTAGGTTTGTCCTTTCTTCTAGCTTGGCAATAAGTGTAGTTTGAATCTTTTGTAGTTGTTTCATGTATACATAATAAAGAATTTTAAGGAGTAATTTTGAGGCAGAAAATAGCTTTAGAGAGCAACTTGAAATTTTCAAAGAAAAGACATCTCTAATTTTAATTTCTTTTTTTTTGGGGGGGGGAGGAGGGGTTAAGAAGTGATTCCTGTTGGCTCTAAGGATGGTCTTTGTAGTATAAAAGTGAGCTGAGCAACCAGTCAGCACAGGCTCTAAGCAAAAACTAGCCCAGGAAATGAGATGGATGTTACACAAGTACATGGGCAGCACAGCCAGGTCCTTCCTTGTGTTAGTCCTGTGGAAGAGGTTATGTTAGAGTGAAGCATTCAGAGATGGGATGATGTGGGGAAGAAGGAGCCTGGAGGACAAAATCTGAAGCAAGCTCTACCTGTCCATGCACTTGACTGCAAGCAGCAGCTTGTCAGCGAGCAGAGCAGTGCCAGGATGAGCCTGTCTTGCTGGTTTTGAGTCCTGATATTACACCAAAAGAGACTGCTGCAGGTACAAAGGTCAGATATGTGTCTGTGGCACGTGTGCATGAATTATTTAGTTTTGCATTAAAATATTCAAGGTGAGTCCCTGATTATTACCCACTTCACTATCGCAAGCTCAAGGACTTGAAGTTCAAATCTAAACTAAAACTGAAGCACATATAGAAATGATCTGGGACCTCCAACACAAGAAAGCTATGGACCTGTTGGAACAAGCCCACAGCAGGAACCACAAAGATGCTGAGAGGCCTGGAGCACCTCTCCTATGAAGACAGGCTGAGAAAGTCGGGGTTGGTCATCCTGGAGAAGAGAAGGCTCTGGAGATGCCTTGGAGCAGCATTCCAGTACCCAAAGGGGTCCTGCAAGAGAACGTGGAGAGGCACTTTTTACAGGGGCATGGAATGATAAAACAAGGGTAATGGCTTTAAGGTGAAGCAGGGTAGGTTTAGATTAGGTTAGATATTGGGAAGAAATTCTTTACTGTGAGAGTGGAGAGGCCTTGGAGCAGGTTGCCCAGCGAAACTGTGGATGCTCCACCCCTGGAAATGTTCAAGTCCAGGTTGGATGGGACTTTTCTAGTGGGAAGTATCCCTGCCCATGGCGGGGGTTTGGAACTAGATGATCTTTAAGGTCCCTTCGACTCTAAATCATTCTGTGATTCCATTAATTGCACCCCCCTTCTCCCATGTTACATCAGTTTGCAGCCACCTCATACTGATCTCCTTGTTGTATTATTTGCTGCTACTATTATTACTGTTTAATGGTTATCATTACTCTGTTGCTGCTCAAAAACCCCCAAGCAGCAGTGTGAGCACCTGTTTGTTCCCTTCTCTCAGAAGTAAGGGAAGCCAGCCAAGGGAACAGAGACCTCTTTCCAGCTGGGCATGGAGCTGGGATTGAGAGCCTCAGGGGCCAGGCTTTCTCCCAGAGGCACAGCACTGTTACTGACCTGGCTGGCACCACCACACCTGCCTTCTCATCACTTATTTATTGCACAAAAAGCTTCATTGCAGTGTGTGTGTGTGTAAATATGTACCCAAAAATTATTATTTGAAAATTTAATATAAATCAATACCATTATAATTAATATAAGGACCAATATACATACTACAATAATTAATAATTAAGATAAATATTATATATAATTATATATAATATAATTATGTGTATGTAATTAATATATACTATAAAACAGATAAAATGTGTTATTGAAATAATATTTTAAGGCCTTTATAAAATTATTTGTTTCCAGAAATGTGTGTGTATAAAAAATATGTAAAAATTGTTACTGTTTTAAATTCTAATATAGATTTATGGATCAATATAATTAAAATATAATATAAAAAGAGATATTATATGGTATTTAAATAATTTCATAAAATTAAGGATTTCCAGAAATAAGCATGTTTAAATATTAAAAAAAATATATAAAATCTGGAATTATTTTAAACTTTAATATGGATGTATGGAGCAATTTAATTACCAAGGAACATTAGAAAATAGATGTCGCGTGCTATGCAGCCAACACTTTTACGGAACGGTGTATTTCCAGACCGGAGGGTCCGGCTGCCGGGGATGGGGAGGGAGGGAGGCGGGCGGGGGCGGGGCAGCGGCCGCCCGGGGCTTTGCCCGCTCTCTCTCCGGCGCTGCCATGGCTCCGCTCCGCTCCGGCCCGGCCTGGTGGCGCGTCCTGTCCCTGGCCGTGCTCGGCCCCGTGCTCTGCGGCCGCTCGGCGCGGGCCGAGCCGGAGCCGGGGCCGGGCCCGGCGGCGGCGGGGGACCCGCACGGGCGGCACCTCTACAGCGCGGAGATGCTGCGGCACGGCGCCGCCGCCGCCCCCCACTTCGTCATGTTCTTCGCCCCGTGGTGGGTACCCGAGCGCGGCGCGGCCCGGCCCGGCCCGCGCCCTCCGCCCGCCTCTTCCCCGTTGACGTGGCGGCGGGAGGCGGCGGGGCCGGGCCGGGCCGGCGGGGAGGCCGCGGGGTCGCGCTGCCCCGAGCCCGGCGGGAGGACTGGCGGGGAAGGGCAGCCCCGGGCGCCGGGAAGGGCTGGGACGGGAGCGGGACCCCCGCGTGTGCTCGGCCCGGGCCTCGGCGGCCGCCCCCGTCACGGAGCCGCGGGCTCGGTTAGGTTGGAAAAGAGCTCTGGGATCATCAGGTCCAACCTACCGGCGCCCGAAGGCCGGCTGGGGCTGCGGGGGAGTCGCTCCGGCGTGCTCAAAGGACCGAGAGCAGTCGCAGCTTGGCCACCGTCACTTACTTACCCTGAGCCCCCCAGCCCCAGCTCGCAGATGCTTTCATTGCAGAATCTATGTTCTCTTTGCATACGCGAAATTTGAGGGTAAATTTGTTCTGTTAACCGCCGTGCTGTGTCCCCGAGGCCACAGGTGTCCCTAGGAGAGCTGGAGAGTTATTAGGTTTGCAAGAGAACCACTGGGCTTTTGTCCTGGACTGGTATTTTTGGCTTGAGAATGGTTGAGACGAATGAGGGAACAGTGCTTTACTAGATATTCCTAGTCAAGAGCACAATACTTCTCATCTGTGGGTCTTTCTCATAGTTGGTCATATTCTTCTCTTTTCTTTGCCTCTTCCCCTACCCTTTTTTATCTTACTGATATCCAGTAGATGTTATTGGGAGTTCTATTGTTAGGGTTGTTAGGTTTCTTTTTCTACTTTTTTTTTCCCCCCAAGTTTTCTTTAATCTAGATAAAATAAAGGGAACAATGTGCAAAAGTTATGTTTTGATCCAAAGTTATTCTTTGCTACGTGGTGCCATTTAGGCGTATGAGAGTCTTTGAAATCCATAGCAGGAAAGCATTTCCTTTGAAAACTTTTTTTGTTATTAACATTGACTTATTTATGCCATGTGAAAATGTTAAGTAAAAGCTTGAAAGGGCAGATGCCTTTGTTCTCTGAAGATCACAACAGTGGAGGACGCCTGACTTGCTGGCGAAGGACTTTTGCCTGAGAGTGCAGTAAGGCCTAAGAAATGCCCATGCAGAGCAGGAGTGCTTCTGTTCTCTTCTGTACTCAGGTGATGATATCTGTGTCTGTCCACACTTTGACTGACTCTTTCACAGGCATCCCTAAAACCAGATGAGCTTTCCCTTATCCCAAGACACTGTTTGTAGGAGACCCTCTGCCAAAAGGGCTGTTGCAGAATCCAATATATGCTGCACATCCTCAGTACAGATCAATGGGAGCGCTGGCCTGGCAGACTTGGATCACACTGTGCCCTTGGGAGGGCTGAGGCTCTCTGCCCAACTTAAGTGTGAGGGAACTCTGTTGTGTACCAGATTTGTTGCAGCTTCTCTGGATGCTCTTCTTATCCTTAGCAAATCTCCTCCAGATCTCTGGTTCTTGGCCTCAGGGTCCTTGGTCTGGATGTCTGGCTCCTGACAGGCAGCAGTGGGGCTAGGTTTCAGGTCCAAGGGAAGAGCAGAACAAAGGGAACATCCAGGTACCTGAGAGAGGTGCTTATACCACTTACACCAGTGTTTAATTGTTGGTGGCATCAGGGTGGGCTGCCTGACAGTCCTGGAGTCTATGTTAGAGCCTCTTGCCCTGTTCCGAGGTGATGTGCTAATCTAATGTTTCCCACAGGCTGTTGTCTGTAGTTCCAAGGCAAACAGCAAACAGCCTAACATTCAGCTGGGTTTGTCTTTCAGATTTGTGTGGGTGCTGCTGATGTTGCATCATCAGTGCTACCAGTAAGAGCTGGGTTAGAGCCAGCACTACCCTTCTCTTCCAGGTCTTGAAACAAATGTAGCTGAGGGCCTCACTCAGAAACAGTGGTGGTACACATAAGGTCCTGTACTTGTTTCAAAGATGGCAGGATACTCCAAGAAGAGAGCCTTCCAAGTCACTTGCCATCCGATGTCATAAGATTTTTGTTCAGAAGGCTGCCCCACTTGGTAGGTACACCTGGGGACAGAACAGGTTACTCTCTTGGTGGCATAAAGTATTCTTAAATTGTTTGCCATATCAGTTCCATTTCTACAGAGGAGGGAGGTTCCCCTGGTTCCTTAGCAGGAAATCATCTCAACTGTGTAGTTTTACTTCATTATTTTGACTCTTACAAGTCTTTTCAACATATGTTCTTACTTGGTAAACCTGGTAAGTCCACTGAGCTGCAGCAGAATTGATCACCAGAGTTTGTTGTTGTTGAGTAGAACTCTGTTGGCTGGATTTTACTTCAGTTGAATTCTTCTGTGCAGAGCAAGAATAGTCCTGGGCTGCTTATACAATGTCTGTGCTTTTAACTGGATAAGGATTTGAGCTGTACCTTACTGTGGAGCTGCCCTTGCTGGTTGCAGAGCTCAAGTTCTGCTAGTGGCCCCCAGAAATGTCTGTGTTAGTCTCTTTTGGATCTTCATTTGTGCTTGCCAGCGGAGGCTGTGGATGCTTACAACTTTCTAGCCCATGTGGGGATAAAAGAGCAGAACTCATCATTGACACCCAGATCTCCACTGTCCCCAGCAGCTCCTCCAGCCCCACTGATGTGTTGTAGAGTGGCAGCAGTGAAGGACTGTGTAGGTGCATGGGGTTGAGGGAAGCATGTGATATTGCTTGGTCTTGCTCTTTCATTTCGCCCTCATTGATTTTATATATATTCCCTTGGAAACTTCAGAAAAGGTGTTTTCAGGACTGTCATGTATTTCCTTCTATATAATACTGTTTTGGGTTTTTTTCAAACTGGAAGTGACTAACTAGTCAATTACTGATTCAAATAGAACCATTTTTCCTAGTTTATTCTCACTTTTAGCTTCCATAATCCAAAGAAGGAAGGAAAGGGGTGTGTATAGCAGAGATCACAGTGTTAAGCAGGGACAAGGCAGCGGTTGTGCTTAAAAAACAGGAGGTTAATTAATTGGGATTCACTTACCTGGTTTTCCACGCTCTGTTCTCTAACAACAGCTGGTATTCATTTGGTGTTTTGAATCACTGCATCTGCTAGGGGAAGGGATCAGAGTATCCAAAATCCTCCTCTTAATTCAAGCTTTGTGAAGGAGTTGACTATGGAGGGACTTCAATCAGAAGTTAAATATTTAAGGAATATTTGATTTTAATAATAACACATTGTATCCCTCCACCAGGACAATTCAGAATAAGATCACATAGGAGGCTGTATTCAGCCCTATCATGGGAGCAGGTGTGACTCACTGTGCCTGACTGTTACAGGACCTTATTAAGATCAGAAAAAATTCTTTATCTTAAAGTAAATCTCAAGGGTTTGGGAGTTTTTTTGTTTGTTTGTTTTTTCCCTTTCATGATCTCAGGATAGAAAGGTGTGAATCCATGCAACTTTTCTACAAGTGTACTCAAAAGCATTTGTATGAGTAAAACTATTGTAAGTCAGAGCAACGTTCTCCAAAGTCCTAATGGTGATTTAATTGTTACTTAAAAAGTAGATGTAGGTCATGCAATAACTGCTTTCATACTGTCAGTCTGAAAATGTTACTCCAACTTTGTATTTCTTAGATGTCTTGGAGGGTTGGCAAAAGCAGCCATTAAAGAGAAATTAAAATCCCTTCCTTAAAACTTTCCATCATACTTTGAGGGATAGAGTATTGCTATAATGATTTGAAAGACTAGGAAAACAGCGAGAAGGATAATAGCTATTTTTTGCTTTTGGGGAGGTGCTGTTGTAGGAACTGTATAAGGCCAGTTTTCTGTGTGTATGCAGATGTAAAGAGTTGATGGTGTCCTGCTGGGGCAGAGCATAGGATGGGAGGATTTTCGCAGAATATTCTGACCCACAAGGGTCATCAAAACTTTGGGAAACTGTATCGCAAAATTGGATGTGATGTTTCTTGTATGTTACAATTCCTCTGAAGCATGGAAGTGAAAGTGGCATTACAAAGAAGCTAGAAACTATTATCTTCTTACCTACTTGCTAAAAAAAAAAAAAAAAAAAGGAATTTTGAAATATGAGAATGTAAAGAAAGCTGGGCAATCTTGCAGGATTTTTCTGGAAAGCTGGAAGACTGACAGTGCTTTGATTAATAACCTTACTAAGTTCGGGGGGTATTCATAGGATTTGTACTGTAAAAGGAGAGTAGCAAGAGGTTCTCAAATATTTGATTTTTACATGAGATGTGTTTGCAGCATGCTACAGTTCTTAATAGCATTTGCTGTTGCTTCGTGTAACAGTACTTGAGTATGGAAGATTTCTGAGGTAACTGATTTAACTTTTGATTTAAAGATTTGTTTAAATTTATCAAAATCACCATTCTGCATATGACTTTTCTAAGGGCTCATTCCCCTCTAATTGTGAGCAGCTATTAAACAGTATCTTGTCCCTTCTGTCACAGGTGTGGACATTGTCAGCGCCTCCAGCCAACTTGGAATGATTTGGGAGATAAATACAACAACATGGAAAACCCACAGGTCTATGTTGTTAAAGTGGATTGTACTGTAGATATTCCACTGTGCTCTGAATTTGGCGTCCGAGGATACCCTACGTAAGTATAGGAAGAAGTGTGCTCCCATTTTTCTTTTTTAGTTTTCCATGATCCTCTGCCAATTTCTTGGAGCTGACTTCTAAGATATATTTTTTGCTGGGTTTCTTTGTAGCCCTTTGGACCTGCTACATTCATTTTAAGCCTTTTTGCAATGCTGCCAAGTATCATGTGATACATAGTGCTCTTAGGCTTTTTTTTTTTTTTTTCTTTCAAGAATCTGTTTTATGTCTTAGAAGGTGGCTGTGTTTAACTGACGTCCAGAATCTTCCTGTTCTTTTGTGTGGGAGTACCTTTTTCTGAAGCTACAGTACATTGTGCAGCTGTGATATGCATAACAGAGCTGGTTTTTACTAACAGTAAAAGTTACTTTAGAAAGTAACTTGCCACTAGTTTGTCAGTATACTGCACCCTTCATAACTGCATTACAGGTGGTCTCTTAGATTTTTAGTGAACTAAGCAATAAATGAATAGTATCACTTAGCATAGCAGTGGTGATATTGTGCACTGCACCCTTCATAATTGCATTACAGGTGGTCTCTTACATTTTTAGTGAACTAAGCAATAAATGCAATAAATGAATAGTATCACTTAGCATAGCAGTGGTGATATTGTGTTGATTTTTTTCTAGCTAAATTTCCTTGTATTGGTCTAGTATTTTAAGATTGCTATGTTTATGCTGTTAACAAGGATGTATGTCTTACTACCTCAGCTTTTGTAGGCAGAGCATGGTCTAGAGTATGAGAGGTCAGTGTCTTTGGGTTAGATGTGTGTTCCCTTTTAGACTGATAGAAAAGGAGCAAAAGGATTTATTTTTCACTCATGTCTTCTTTAAAACTTCTTACAAATATGGATGGGATTCTTTTAACTGCTTTATTAATTATTCATCTTAGTGGGGATAAGTGGAGATTGTATCAATGATTATCTACATCCCTTCCACAGCCTGTATTTTTCAGTTTCCTTCCCTTTGCTCACTTTGTCTGGTGTTTTTGCTAACCCCAGCAACAGCCTGAACTTTTCATTTGCTCCTGGCTGCACCCACTTGGACGCAGATGAGTGTGACTGAGTAGAAGTTGAGAGTTATAAATAGCACAGTCCTTGTTGAGATAGGAATTGCCCTTAAGGGCAGTGTGTGTCTTGCTTCCACTACAAATACCAAGATAGAATGAATATTACAGTTCTGTTTTCATATCTCCAGAAGTGAGCATTGGTTGTCATTGCCTATTTGCGTAGATTATATTATGGTGCTCTTCATCTTAAAATAGAATGGCAGAGATTTTTGAATAGGAAAAAAAATCAATGGATGTGTAATTGCTGGAGGGCTTTTTCCCCTCCCTCCTCTTTAAGGTCATTGAATCTATAGGAATAGTTAGTGCTTGCTTTTATCTATTTGAAAAGTTAAAAATGATAAGGCAGTCATCTGCTAGGTACAGAAATATACCTATTTCTATGAAGGGGAATTCATGGTATCAGTTCTCTTCCTATTTGAGTCAGGGTTGAACTAGCTTGTGTCTAAAAACCTCCAGCAAGGGAAATTTCACAGTTTCCTCAGGCAGAGGTATTGTTGCAAGTCCAGGTTATGCTGATCCCTACACTGCTTTCCTAAACATCTGTCAAAGGAAAGGCTGCATCCCCTTTTCATCCCCTCAGAGAAAAAGTGGCTGAGCAGGTCCCTGCACTTCATATCACAGTTGTCTCAGGATTATTTGGTTTAAGATGTTACTTAAATTTGTTTTGTTATTTTCAAAAAGTATTGCCAGGATGTGTTTTAGATATTCTTCTTTTTCATTTTTTTCCCTTCCTTATTATTCTGACTTTCCATCATCACAAGGAACATTCAAGAGTACCTTGAAAAGAAAAAACAGTGGGAGCTCCTATCTCTTTTGAATGTATTTGCATTATGTGGTTTTTAAACACTTTCATATGTTCATTTCTTTCAAATGTGGAGCAAGAAGAGAAAGAAAAACATTTCAAGAAATTAAAGAAGCAGTACAAAATGACAGCTTGTCAAGGGGAACTGAGGGCTAGGTGACAGTAGTAATTGCAACTCTGATTTGCTTTAAAAAATAATACTAGGTCAGAATGCAGTATCACACCTTTATTAAATACTTCCAATTTTAACTTAAAATTTAGTTGTAGAAGCTTTATGTAGTCTATGAAAAAGTTTTGATGGCAATTAATGAATGTTACAATCATGAAGTCTTGATACCTACAAGAAGTCTGTTATCCTTTTGTCCTATTGACTTGTCTCAGTGTGTTTTTAATCAGTTTAATACCACATGACAAACCCTACACTACAACAGCAGTCAGGGAACAAAAGGTGAGAAAGAAATTTCTGGGAAAATAAGTGCTAGATATTTTTCCTTTGGTGATGGAGAGAGGTGAACAAAACAAAATCGATGCTCTTTGACAAACTGAAATAGGATTCATAGAACTGAATGCTGCAATTTTTAAATTGTTTTTTCTTATTTATCAAAGTAATATTACATTATAATGATTTTTAACTTGGTATGTCTTATTTTCTCTTTTAAAAATCTCCTTAAAGCTTACATGGGAAAGATCCCATGTAAGGATCCTAAGTTCTAGCCATGACACTTTAATCTGAAAGAGGTGCCTGATGCTGACGTTAAGTCAAGAGATCTGTTACTGTAGCCTGAGATGCATTGCCATGGATTAGCAAAGCACATTATCTTTCTGAGAATGTTTCCTGTGTTAAAATTTTTGCCTCACTCTTCTCTATATTTTGACCCTTTAGGCTAAAGTTGCTTAAACCAGGACAAGAACCTGTGAAATACCAAGGCCCTAGGGACTTCCAGGCACTGGAAAACTGGATGTTGGAGAAACTAAATGAGGAACCATCTGTAAGTGAAAAGGAAATAATCTTTTCTGCAGGCTTACTTATCTATCATTTCTCTAAGTTAGGTTTCAATTTCCAGGAGGAAATCTGCTCCTGAGAATAAAAGTCAGGTTGCAGTATCAATATGAAACAGCTTACATGTAAGTCAGAGTAGTAATTAAAACTGTCATCCTGTGACCTGCTCTCTGTTTCCAACTTTTAAAATTACAGTACATAATGCAATTTTAATGCTTATACATTTGACAATTTAGAATACAGTCCTTGCTGTCAATTCATTTGACACCATCGTAGGCCATAATGTTTCTACAGTAAGAAATAAAATTTAGCTCTAATACATTATAAATTGCATTTTTGTTTGGTTTAGTTACTTCTTAAAGCATGGATGCCATCTTTAGCTGAGTTACTTTGTGATAATATTGTGGCCTAAATAAAAGGTTTAAAATGATCAGTTAAGTAAGATATGCTAATACAATGACTAGAAAAATCCTTAAGTTTAGGGGTATCATTCACATACAGGAGCCAAGCCTTGCCTAAAATTAAATTTTTGATGGCTGTTTCTAATCAAGAGAAAGCTTTAATGATTTCTGAACCACAGTTAGAATGTGATTACATTTAAACAAGCATGGCCTTTTTAGTAATTGAACATTAAATGCTAAATTATTTTAAGAAATACACTTCGAGTTTCCGAAAGAACTCTTTTCAGCTTCAGGGTTAGAGTCTAGAAAGCATTCACTTGCTCTTGCTGAAATGCTCATGAGGTTCTTGCAAGTTACATGTATTGTGTTTGCTCTATTTCCATTGTTGCTGTTTTCATGGAGCCATTAGGTAGACAGCATTCCTTCTGGCACTAGGGGAGCAGAAAATAGCTTTTGCACTATTTTTAAATAGCCCAGAGACCACTACAATGGGTGTACTGGCAGCTGTGGCTGATGTGTGATGCTCTGGAGGTACTGTTATATAATTTAAGTGTGTTAATATATGGTGATGCAATGAATGCTACAGCAATTACTGTGCCCTGTGACTGTGCTACAGCACAGTGAAAGACTGATATTCCACAGATTCTGGTAACTCTTTTATGTGGCAGTCCTTTTCACCTTTTGATTTCATGTAGTTGTTTTTTAGGAAACATTAGGTACCTAAATCAAGCTAAATAAGGACATTGCTTTAGGAATTTAAAATTTCAAAATCTATGGCACTATCGCACAATGGTGTGATGCAAGAAAAAAACATTGTGTATTTGATGTAGAAGAGAAATAAAAGTTAATTTTTCTCATGAATAGGACCCTGAATCTGATGTGGAAGCACCAAAAGCCCCTGAACCTAAGCAGGGAATGTATGAACTCTCAGCAGACAATTTCAAGATGCACATAGCAGAAGGTAACTGTTTTTTCCAAACAAGAGAAACTTGGTTACAGAGACATTAGTAGTGGGAAGTCTGCACCAGAAATGCTCGTTTTCAGGATACCTCCTTCCCACTTTCAGTTTCCAGTAATATAGTGAAAGAGGTAACTACATAGAAAACTGTGTAAAAATGCAATGGTTAAATTACATATTGCAGACTATAAGAAAGTTTAAGTACAGCGCTCAGAAGGCAGTACAGTTATACAGCTCCTAACCCCAGGGAAGAAGCTAGTGGGGCTTGCTCAACTAAACTGTCTCTTTTCCTGAGCTGCTTGCTCAGTCACAGCCTTGCCACTTTTTGTTTTTGCAAGTCCCATTTCCTCCTTCCCTAGGTGCTGGTTTGTTCTTCCTCCAGGTTGTTATTCTGGATAAGTGTAATCCACCCGCTTCCTCCTTCCAGCCCCCATCCCACTCCAGTCTGGCCCTTTATTTGATATTGTTTAGCTTCCTTCCTCCAGAATTAATGTGGGCAAAATACTTTGTCTGTTTGGCTATTTTAAAAAATATTTTGTCTGGAAGCTTTAAAATTAATGCCAGGAGGGATACCTAATAAGGGAAACTTCAACACTCACATGTTTTTTTAGACAATGAGCAAAATCTTAGAATACAAACTTTGGACTGGCATGACAACAGAGGATCCTACTTTCTCCATCTGTTATCCAAAAATGAAAGGCTGGATTAAATTAAATGCTTGCCCATTTGAAATCACTGGGGAGGTCAATCTAGAACTCCTTAAAGTAACCATTAGCTGATTAGAAATACTTTCATGTGTAAAACAACATTTTCTGCAGCTGACTTAAAATTTCCCAGCATGTCTGGCTTAATGTGGAATTCAATCAAAATTCTCAATTAATTTTCCTCTAAGCCATCAGCGATATGCTAAGCATTTGTCAGCTTAACTACCTTCTCAGACTGTAAAATTCAGTGCATTGTAAATGTTTTAGTGTTTTTATTATATATCCAGCCTTCATAGAGGAGACATTCTCGTGGTCATATCTGATGGTTAAACAGGTTTATGATCATCTGTAAATCTGTTGTCCTTTCTTGACTTCAGTTACAAGAATTTCAGTGCTTAAATTTAACATGAGGCCTAGCAGTTACACCAGCAAAGTTGACTTCTGTTCTTAAATAGCCTCCTTTTACCTTTTTGCTGCTCTGGGACAAATATAAATTCTGTTGTTTTCTATTGAGGAGAGTATGTCAGAGTACATGGTAAAGAATAGCTGATTTTGACTAGTGTTCTTATTAATTCATAGGAAATTTGATTTTGCAGTTTACTTGACCAATACAGAACATGTCAATCAGTTTCAAAGTCTTCCACATGCAGACCAGTCAAGTTAGAGTACACTATTATGCAGTTTGTTTCCTGGGTTTTTTTTATTGCCTTTCCTCTGACATTCCTTTGTGGACAAGCCTTCAAACTAGAAATTAGTTCAAGTAATACCAGCCCCAAAGCAGTCTTCAAAGGATTATGAATAATTCTGCTGAAAAGAGCTTTTCTCCAGTTGCTGGTGTTTCCTGCAAATTAATTTTTTCCCTTATTTTAATTAAGTTCATTTTAATTTCATTTAACAGAGCCTTGCCTTGATGTATGCAAAAATGTGCAGCAATTTGAATTAATTAATCTTATTTGAAAGAAATTGCATATTCTGGTACTCTGCAATCAATAATATATACTTTTAAACTAAACCTTAGTAGGAGATAGTACAGGGACTCTCCCCTGCATAAAATGCCACAAACATCTACTAAAGGCAGAAGTTTCTGAGCAGTTGACATTAAAATTCAAAGAGCAGGGCAGAAAAAGAAAAATGGAAAGCTGAACAACATTTTTCAGCTAATTAATGAACTTGATGATTTCTTAGGAAACACCATTGCGTGAAGTTGAAGTTTCATACTTCAATTTATGCTGTTATCAACATATGTTTCTTGGTAGTACTTTCTACTCTGTAACAGGGCAACTGGTAGAATTAAACACTAAGGTAAATGGTTAGGTTATAAGTATCAGTTTTAATACCTCACTCGTTGGCTTGAGATTGTGAAGCTGTTTGAATTTTCAGGAAATTTGGCAACGCTGTGGGACTGCATACAGTATTGAAAATCTAATTGCTGAAGTATTTTGTCCTGGCCTTTGATTCACAGTGTTTCCTATCTTTAACTCAGGAAATACCATGATAAATTTGCAGCCTGAGATTAGTAGCTAGGCTTTAATTGCAGCCAAGTTCATTCCAAATTAGCTAATTTTTTTTTTTTTTTTTTTAACTTAAAAGGTAATCACTTCATCAAGTTCTTTGCCCCTTGGTGTGGTCACTGCAAGGCTTTGGCCCCAACCTGGGAACAGTTGGCTCAAGCCTTTGAGCATTCGGAAACTGTCAAAATTGGTAAGGTAGGTGAAGCACTCTTAGTTTGAAAATATGGTTTGTGTCAACATATGTTTCAGCCAAGAATCATGCCTTTTGTGCTAGGATTTGCCAATCACAATTGTTTTGTTTGTCACCTCTTAAATCCTTTTATAGTCACAGTTTGTATTTTTGTTTTGAGACCGTCATGGTTTTTTTCTCACACATCAATAGTTAACAGCACCTCCCCCATTTTAAGCAAAGCCTTGTTGCAAACAGAGCTGCCTCTCTGCATTTCAGAGACCTGGGAAGAAGTCTGATACTTCAGATGCAGGGAATAATATTTTGAGACTTGTTTTTTATTATTCATTTGCTTTATCAGAATTTGATAGACTTCAGTATTTATTTTGAGTGGGAAAGTGATTCTAATTTGTTCTTTGCAGCATTGGATTCTTTAGCAAGCTTTATCCCTACTGGATATTTATGATGAGTTATTTCTTTGTTGGTTTTGGATTTTTCCCTCTTTTTCCCCATAAAACTTCTAAAAGGTTTCAGGGGGTCTTACACCTTAAAAATTGTCCTGCTTTACTATTTCCCTTAGGGTTGATAACCAGGTTCTGTGGTGTATTTACCATGGGAGCTTTTTACTTGTACGTGGAGTGACTACTGTGCAGAAGTATGGAGGTGGTCTGGCAATTTACTGGCTTTGTTTGCTGACCCATACCTAAGTCCAGGTGACTCATGATGGGAATCCCTCTGTATCTGCCAACTGTGGAAATTGGACCGGGCTCAACTTCCACAACCCTAAACTTTCACAGTGGTGCCACTGACCTGAAATACTGCATGGCAGCAGTGTTGTCAGTCCTGCAGAGGGACTCTCTCTGCTGTCTCCCCTGCTTCTGCCCTCACAGCACTTTCAGCTGCAGTAGGAGGGATGACTTTTTTTTTTTTTAATGCTTTTGAAAATCTGTTGATTCAGGTATGCTGTACATGTACAGCACAGGCCAGCAGAGTTGAACTTTAGAAGAGGCAAACATATATATATATAAAAGCACAGTTGAACTTCAGAGAAGACACACAAATATATATATATATATGTTCAGATCTGGTGGATATAAAGTTAGATTCCCTCTGAGAATGGAATGTCAGAAGCTTTTTCTCCTTTGAATCTTTCTGTACTTTTTGATGCCCTTATTTGCTGTCTGATGAAATTGTTGCTTAAGTATCTTTATGAAGTTACCCTTCTCTGGCACCCAGAAGAAAATGAACAATAAATTTCCAAAATTTCTGTTTCAATCAGTTGTCTGTGGTGTTTGCAGTTTGCGTTACTGAGATTTGCTATTTAATACCTCCACTAAGATTTGTCTTAATGCCTAGACAATTTTATGTAACTGTATAGCTTGTGAAGTATCTCTTGAAGCATGTCTTGGCTAAGATTTTAAGTCTGTAAGTAAACAGGAAACACAACTGTTTCTAAGAAGGTTGAACCATGACCTTCATCTAATCTGGGGGAATAGTGTCTTAACACTGTTTAATCTTTAGAACTGATCTTCAGTGAAAAGCTTATAAACAAGTAACTTCACATACTATATTAGAATTGAATGTTGCTATGCACTTGGAGCTTCCCTTGGAACACAGTTCACTTGCTAACTGTTGGCATGCCTTCTGAAGTGGGTGAGCCAGTATGTCTTCACTTTAAAGCTCTCTCACATTAGTGTTTTGTGTCTTGTTGTCCATGTACTGATTTTATTAGCTGAGAATACCAAGTACTTTTTAATTGAAGTATTTCATTATGTCTTCATTGTTCTTTGCAACTGCTACTACTTCCTTCTAGCCGTACCTCCCTCCCTGATCCCTCCTTAAAAAAATAAATAAATACACACAGAGCCTCCCAATTATACAACCAAACCACTGTTTGCAAGGCAGACATAATAATTCTCAAGACAGTACTTGGTACTGAGTTTTGCCAAGCCTTGTATTGCTTGTTCCTGTATTTTTCTGAGCTTTTAAACAAGGGAGGCTGTGATGCTTGTTTATTTTAGGCACTGAATCGTTTTGGGTTTTATTCCCAAAATGTAGGTCGACTGTACCCAGCATTATGAAGTTTGCTCTGAAGCCCAAGTTCGTGGTTACCCCACACTCCTCTGGTTTAGGAATGGTGAAAAGGTGAGTCTGCAAGTTCAGCAAAAAAATCACATCATTTTTCTCTGAATAATATTTAGACTATGCTTACATTCTGGGAAAAAAATCTGCTTGTGAGAGAAAAGATGTTGGGTGTTCATTTGGGTACTAGAAGAGGTAGACTTTGTCCACAGATAAAGGTTTTTGTTCCCTGTTTTGCAAACAACTGATACAATGTTCATAAATCTGTAAGCAGGATCTCCAGTTATGTTGCTGTGTGAGAGAATTATGGGTTTACTTTATCATAGTATTTTACTTCATATGGAACACGATAATATAACTGAAATAGAAATAATAATAAAGTATGTAATTTTCACAATGTGCATCAGAAGATTCTCATCTCTAAGTGGTGCCCATCTGCTGAGTGATGTCTAGAGAATGCAAATTTTCTTTCTTATATAAACCCAAACATTTCACATGACACTGTGAGTGAGAGTCTTGTGGGCCCAGCTGACATTTTTCCTTGCAGCAATTCAGAGAACTGAAATACTCTGAAATTATGGGGAGATAAAATGTTTATAAATGCCACATACCTGAACAGCATTAAATAAACATATTATAAATTGTAGCATTATTTATATTATATTTCACAATTTCAAGATTATTTAAATATATTCAATAGATATTCAAAACAGGCCTGCAAGAGAACACAGAAGCTACGCTTCTAGCTCTTACCTGCTAAGTTCTTGGCAGGGGGAAGGAAGAGGGAGTTTTCTTCCATTCAATTTGCATTCCTTTTTGAACATTTACAACATTAAGTTTTGTTACTTGAAACAGTTTAGTGGCCACTGCTCGTGGCAATTTTCTGGCACTCTAAAGAGAAACTGGCTGCAAGTACATATCATATGAGATTTGGTATAAGCACCCCTATAAGATCAGACACTAGGGAATTTAAATGAAGCAGCCCCTGCGTTTTTGAATCCCGCCAGATTCACATAAGTGTGCAGCCTTATGACCTCTCAAGCAGCACAGCTGGAAGCTGAGGGAGTGCTCAAATCAAGCATCGTGGCATGTCCAAGGCTAGAGGTTTTTAGTTAATTAAACTTTAGCTTAAACATTGTAGTAATTTGAGTTCCTTGGAGTTATATCAATCAAGAGTGCAGCGAAAGAAAAAAACCTGCTGTTGTATTTGGTAAAGCTGAACCTCAGCCATTAATCTCAACAATGTATTTCAGTTGACATCAAACTGTCTTTCCCCACTGGAAGTGTGGCATTCCTTAGTGGAATACTGCCACCAAAATCACATGTTCCTGCATGGGCTGATACAACATATTTGAAAAAACACAGAACAACCTCAACTATTTTCCAATAATCTGGCCCAGAAATTCCTGAAACTCTCTCTGGCAGCTATGATACTGATCAGTAAGGGAAAGGAGTAGAACTGATTCAGTCATCCAGCCTTGTCTGTAATACCTACCTTCATCCCCTTTGCCATAACTGAATTCTGGCATCACGCCACTGCTGTTGGTGAGAGGCAGCAGATATTCTGGGAGGAGCCCTGACTGCCCTGCTGACATGGGTACAAACAAACAGGTACTGGCTTCTTGCTCCTTAGGGATTGACTGGCACCCAGTGCCAGGAAAGGGGCAGTAGTTACAAGAAACATTATCAATTACAAAAGAAGGAGAATGTGTACAAAAAGTTCCAATGATGAAGAAATGTCTGTTCTTCCTTCTAATGTATGGAAGATTGTATGTTGTTTCTTATAGAGTCTTCCTGGTCTGCAAGAGGAAATAAATCTTGCAGCCCACACCACAGAGGACCACATGTCAAGAATTCTATCCAAAAGAGATATGTAATGCCTCAAAGATATGATCTCTCTTCTGAACAGGAAAATTAGTACTAATTTTCACAGACAGCCCTGAGGGCAATCATGCAAAAGCCAATTTAGAGAGGGCCAACAGTGGGTTTGAAACTAAAAGCTGCTCACAAGTGCTCTGATTTCTTGTTGTGACAATCTCTTGATTGTCTTGTTCTCTAGATTTGGAAAGTACCTGAAATATGGGGAGGCATCCAAGGTAAACTGTGGCCTGTCAAAGATCTGGCTGGCTGACTGCTTCATGTGCAGGTTAAAAAATAAGATTAGACTTTTGGGAGAGTGGTGCCATTAGAAATGTCTGCCCTGCAGCAGGCTGCTGTTGTCTCTTCCTCCCAGGTGAATTTAGGTGCCCAGAATGCAATGCCTTCTTGGGTTTTCCAAGGACTTGCGGCAAGTGTGTAGGCCAGAGGAATAACTGTGTAGCACAGAAACAGGCAAGTTAAAGTTTTCAGCTCTGTCAAAGAAAGCACTGTGTAGAGCTCACAGGGTAGCAGAGACCACACCCAAAACACAGTGGGTATTTTATTGTTTCTTGTAGTAGAGTTAGATTCAAAAAAAGAAAACTTTGAAAAAGCTGACTAGAGTGAGACCAGAAGGTTCGAAGTGGAAATGTTTCAAATTTGCTTCTATGTTTCTAAAATACTTTTCATTTCAAGGGAATGTTAGATTGTTCCCTTTGGGTACTGAAGAATCTATGGCAAAAGCTGAAGACATGGAGTGAATGCAATGTCATAGAGAAGTTTCAGAACTAGATAATCATATTTATTATTTATTTGCTTACACTTGGCAATCTTACATTTTGCTAGTAATTATTTATTTGTTACGTCAACTGCATATCAAAGGTTGCACTATTTGCTAATTGTAGGGTGACCAGTACAAAGGGAAAAGGGATTTTGATTCCTTGAAAGAATACGTGGATTCCCAGCTACAGAGCTCTGGAAAAGAGCCACCAGCAGATAAACCTGTTGAAGCCCCACAGCCACCTGCAGAGCCCACCCCTGTCGAGGTAAGTGTTCCTGCACTCTGCAGCAATGTAAGGTGTTCAGACTGTTTCAGCTGCCTGTCTGAGTCTTCCATGTGTTTCTCTCTCTCTGATAGCTTGAAAATTTCTGGATGTAAGCTGTACCAAATACTTCCCTGGTTATTTTTTTGAGTAATTCATGAGTGGAATGAGATAATAGATCCTAGAGATACTTTTACTAACCTGATGAATTGGAGAAGGAAAAAAAATCTGATTTCTATTTTATGGTTGCAATAAGTTATTTAGATACAGGCATAAATGTGGTCTTTTTGGCCCATGGAACTGCTGGCACCTGGGTCTGTATGACAGCATATTTCACCACTATAGAGATGAACATTTCTTGCAAGATTATCACTTGAACCCAGGAGGATGGTGCGCACTGCTAAGCCTCTAAAACAAGCTAGGGTTCTATACTTAGAAATCTATCTGCAGAAACAATGAACAAAGATTATGAAGACCAGTACCAATATGGTAAGGTAATGTGCCCTGTGACAAGAAAACTCCTTGGGGTTTGGAAACTTATTTTTATCTTGGTTGTTGGAGCTACAGGCTTATGTTGTGAAGAAATTGGCAGAAATAACCTTTGTACAATTGTAGTTCATGTAATATAATTCTCTGTCTTTTCTAATCCCTTTGGCATTTCATCTTTTTTCTTGGAGATGAATGAAAATTTGGTAAGGCTGAGAAATTAGGGATGGATTTCAAACATAATTTTTCATGAAATGTGCAGTACATACTTTCTGCCTATAAAATAAGGGACAGGGATTTACACTCCCTGTGATATAGAATGAACCTAAATAATTAGGCAACAATATTCTTAATATAAATACAGTTTCTGTGTAGCTTCTTATGGGAAAATATTACCTTTCCCAGCTGACTTTTCCAGCAGCATTACCCATCTTGCATAAAGTGGCTTACCAAACATTACAGACCACATAGATTTGCAATTTTCATAGTCTTCAATTTTTATTTTCTAATTGACCTCATATTTGGAAGATCCCAATGAGCTGGTGTTAGTACAATGCAGAAAGTAATGAGTTGTCTTTCTATTTTTATAGAAATAACACAAACCACATGTGACACAAATTCCCACTTCTGCCTTTGCATTCATCAGGACACACACAAGGATTGTTGGGGGATTTTTTTGCCAAGTAATAGTAGACATAGTGTAGGACTCAGCTTGTCCTTACAACTTTTATCTTCAGACCCCCTGACTCTTTGTTTTCATGAATTTTGAAACAAGGGGCCAGCCCCTGTAGCCAGCAAATACTGACTGCATTTGCCATCAGTTGACCACAGGCAGCAAAAGCAATGAGTTCCCACTCCAAATTTTTGTCCCAGTGTTGAGCCTCTGCTTGGATTCTCCCATGTCTTATATAGCCCAAGTACTTGCCAGCCCTTTTACAGAAGCTGTACTTTTATATCCATGAGATGTCTCTACTGCCAGACATGGCTACAATCATTCAAAAAATGATCCTGGTGGATTAAGGCAGTGTGATCAGCAGATGCTCAGATTATGTGATTGCATTAGATGTCTTTTTTTGAGACACAAAACTAAAATTGAGATATCTGATATTAAATTTATTTTTGTGGTTATATAGTTCACATTGCTGTTCTGATAGTAATCTACAGATCTTTAAAATATATTTTACTGTGCAAATCATGGGGAAGTTGTTACTAAACAGGTTTTCAAATTTTGTGTCTTAGATAGTATGTTATGTTTGGAACATCAGTTTTAGAGAGCCTTTAGGAACATCAGAGTAGAAGCATAGTGCTTACTTTTTGCTTCATTTCATTATTTCTGATCATTTAATATTTAGAAAGTATAAAAGTATAATTTCTAATTTCTAAATAATTATTTAGAGGTAATAACACTTCAGCATAGTGAAATAAATCCATGAACTAACAGTAATTTATAGAAATGTTTAAAGGTACTGGATAATTTGGATTTTCAAATTTATTTTTGGCTTTACAAAACTGACTGGGGTTTAAATAGAATTGATAATACTGTCAGCTGTGATCTTGTTTTTCTTTTGCCTTCATTTGATTTTGAAGCTTTTATAGGCATGAGGTACATTTATTTGTTTTTAATCCCTCCAACCCTTAAAGGTCTCATGCAAAAAATGAAGTTTCAGCTCCATGCTCTCAAGAGAGACTGTAAGCAATGTGCTTTCCTCCCATCGTTCCCTTGCTCCTGATATTATCAGGAGTAGAAACATTTCCTGGCACCCATGCAAGTGTGGTGTTGTGATGTCCTCTTCACAGGCAAATCTGTGTTTCTGGTAACAGCTTCTTCTGTGAATGCAGTGCAGGGGAAGAAAGAACAGAGAGAGCAGCTCTTGAAACATCACTTGTGTGCCTTGAATACCTCATTAAAATCTCAGATGGCCATTACCTGCTTGAAGCCAACTCCTCTAAGGGCTGTTCCTTGAAACATAGTGTATTAAAATTAAAGTGATTTTTCACAATTACTGAAAATCTGGATACAGGCAAATCCTTTGAAAATAGGAAAGCTTTGTTTCTCCAGTTACGGATGAGATTCAGTGTAAAACTCTTTTCTCTGCATCTCTCTAGGGAAGGAAAGTTGCTGAGAAGTAAAAGGCAGGTCTACTGCTGCTACTCTTGTTTATTTTACCAACAATATTATCTTTTCCAATTCCATTTTCCCTTTTAGGAATGTAAAAGCTCTGTAGACTGGTGTTGTATATACAAAATGTTTTGACATTTTTTTCTTTTTTTCAGGGGCAGGCTGCAGTGCTCTCTCTCTCTGAAAAAGACTTTGATGCAACCATTGCTAGGGGGATCACTTTTATTAAATTCTACGCTCCATGGTAAGAAGTTTGCAGCTTTTGCTGTTCAGGATTATTGCTGGCCTAAGATGTGAGTGCAATAGTTGCTGTAGGTTTTTGAGCTGTAGTACTGTAGTTGTTCTCTTGATCTAAAATGTGAATTAGCTGAAGAATGTGTATGTTGGCAAGAGTCACAGCAAAAAAAAAGCTCAGTCTTGTTTAGCTCCCTTGAGCTGCCTCTCTGTGGAAAGGCTGACACAGAAGCTTTACCATGTCAGCCTCCAGGTACTGCTGGGGTAACAGGGAGAGTGAAGCTTTCTTTGCAGGAGCAGCATGCTCCTATCCCTGGATTAGGGTAAGATGAGGGGAGTATATCACCATATCTCAGTGCTGAGAAAGGAGAGGATGCTGGCCTCAGGGCACTCTCCAGCCTCCCTTAGAAGCCTCATTGGAGCACCTGAATTTTGATACAGACTGTTGAGCTATGGATAATTAACTGCCTGTTACTCTTCAAATAACTATCAAAAAACTAATTTGCATAAGTGACAATTTTAAGATGTTCTTAAGAGTGTATGTTCATGCAGTATGTTCTTAGAGGGACCCAAGGTAAAGTGCCCAGTGCAGATGGTGCAGGTGTAGATACCCAATGGAACACGTTGGAGGGGGAAATGAAAGTCATGTCTGGCATCTGCCATTCCTACTATATCCAGCAGAGCCTGGGACCTCAGATGCTTCTCTCTCTGGTTTATAGAATTCATCTTATTTGTGCCTCTACAGAATTTAATGAAACTTGCATGTCATCTTGCTCATCCATTCCTGGTCTTTTAGCCAACAGAAGGAAGCCTAGTGTAGGGAGAGACATTAAAATTAAGCTCTATTCCACTGTGTTAAAGATAACACATCTCTGATTTAATCACTAGCATTCCATTAACACAGTGTATAAAATATAAAAAGATCTTTTGTTTAGTTTACAAAAGGCCCCATTACAAAGCAACACAAGCAAATGCCACCCATATTTAGAAGTGCTGAGGCATCTCAAAATATTGCCATTTAACTTCAACAGTAGGCATGAATGTGTTTCTTAGTGTAGGCAAGAATTGCCTGGGAACATTTCATTTCACTTAAGCTCAGTTCTTCAGGCTTTTCCAGTGTTGTCACCATTTGCTGCTTGAGAACCACTGCTGTGCTCTCTTCCATCTGTAAGATCTGCTTTTGGATGTGAGCAACTGTCTGCCACCCCTGGGTTAAGAAATGCCCTGCCCTCATCAATAGCATGCACACCCCTCATCTTTTACTGCTCTTTCCTCACTGCCTTTATCCCCTCTGTACTCTGGGAAGGCCTTAAATTGAGTCTGTGCCTGTGCTGCTTCTGCCCCTCCTGCAGAACTGGCTGGGAAATTCAGTGCACACCTGTGCTCAAGAGCAGCTTTCAGTCTGATTTCTGAATCCAGATCTTGTTGGCATATCTACTAGTTCGTTACCTGGAGCAACATTTTCTGGGAGAGTTTGAGATGAAGAAATTCTCCCCTTTTGATTATCTTTTATTAACAATACCATGTCCTCATCTCATGAAATTCTCGTGGGGTGCTGCTGAATCTCACAGACAGGATCAGTGTTGGATGGCAGGCTGAGAAACAGTGGTTTCAGGATGTAGAGTCACCAGTGTGTGCTGCCTGGCTGCAATGCTCAGAAAGCCACCATTTAGGAAAATGCTTCGGATATTTACGTAGCTTGTGTCCTGGTTTTGGCTCTGAAAGTCAGGCTTGTGACTGCCTGTAGTGCTCTGCATATAAATGACCATATTCTCTTCCAAGTTGACAAACTTATGCAGGGCTCAGCAAACACTATTATGTTGCTTTCTAGTTCTGCCCTTCAGTTAGTTTTGGATAAATATTAATGTTAACTTGCATCGTAAGCACAAAATCATCCTGTTCTAGTAGTTTTTGTGCATGGTCAGAAATGCTTTTATACTGTCACTGTGTATTAACAAGGTAGTTTAAATATACACTGGCTTGCATTAAGAAAGCTTCTGCTGAGACATCTTTCATTATTTTTGTAAATGCCCTGATCCAGCCTCGAGGCAATTATGGGTCTGTTTTAATAACCCAATTAAGGTGCAGCTGGGTTAGAATAGTATGAGCAATGCAGATTTAAAGTCTAAAGTGCTTTGGAAATTCTTCTTAAAGGCAGTAAGAAGTTCACATTAGGAACTTGACTAAGCCAAGATAAAAATATAAACAAAATGAATGCTAATGGTCAAGGAGGCCATTAGGAACTGAAAGAAATTTAATAGGGAAATTAAAATCTCATTTGACTAATTAAAACTCAGGCTATGTAGCTTTAGTATGACTGGCATATGCTACCTGAAGAATTAATTCATACTACAGACATTCTGTGTCTTCCTAAAAGCCTTTTTGTTTCCAAGAGATCTTTTTTTCCCATTTAAATATTCTCTGTGCTTGTCTTTATTTGGCTTCATAATCCTCTGTGGGATAAAATGTTAATGTACCGAGATCTAGAATACCATTCTAGGCAAGACTAACAAAGGCCAGAAAGTACTTCAGTGCTTAACTTAAATAAAATCACTTGTTTTCTTAGCTCATTTACTGACATAATAGTGCAAAGGAGTTGGAGGGCCAAATCAACTGGGGATAGGAAAGGCTGCTAGTTAAACTTACAGCAATTGCAGCAAGACAGTAGAGATAAAGTAGAAAGTGTATCTGCTAAACAAATCTCCCTCCTTTGTTTCTAGGTGTGGTCACTGTAAGAACTTGGCTCCAACCTGGGAGAACCTTGCCAAAGAGCAATTTCCAGGTTTGACTGATGTCAAAATAGCAGAAGTGGACTGTACTGTGGAACGTAACGTCTGCAACAGATTTTCTGTAAGTGTGAAGGTTCTGAAATGAAGGGGACAGTATTGTGTACCAGATGTTGGAGGCCCCAGTGTGCAGCCCAACTGGCTGCTGCACTCCAGGTGCCTGCTGACAGTACAGCTGTGGTCTCTGTTAGCCAAAAAGAGGCACCTGGTGACACCATTTCATTCCTGAACTGTTTGTTTGGACTTGGTCATTTCCATTATTGGACAAAGCTGAAGAAGTCCCTACTTAAGGAAACCTCTCTCTCTGAAAGCACTAAAGCTGTCTTGCAGTATCCCATGCCAAATTCTGTTCCTAGGAAAAAAATGCCTTCCAGAGCTGTTAGGCAGACAATTGAAGACAGAGCTGGGGCTGTCATTCCAAGAGCCTAGAGGAACATGTATTACCCCATTCTCTTAAAAATGTTCAGAAATTGCAGGTTGGCATTGAAAGTTCTGCTGTGGGTTTTTTGTTTTTTTTTTCAAATTAAAATGGCTTACTGTTTTAAAGGAGTTTGATGGCTTTTCAGAATCAGGTAAATATAAGTGATAGATACAAGTCTGAAGATTAATAGCAAATTTCTTTTTTTGTATGTGTCTTTTGAAGGTACGTGGTTATCCTACACTTCTGCTTTTCCGAGGTGGAAAGAAAGTCAGTGAACACAATGGAACGAGAGACCTTGAATCACTGCATAACTTTGTCTTGCGTCAGGCAAGGGATGAACTGTAATAAAAGTCTGGATGCTCTGTCCCTGGCTGTCTCTGTACAGTAGCTGAGGGATTTCTATCTTTGCTAATTTTCAAATAGTGTATTTGGGGGGGTGGGGCTTTTTTTGTTTCTTTGTTTCTAGGAAATTGAATGTACTAAATTTTGGTATCTTCCCCTTGTGTGTGTGTTAGAGACATGTCTCTGTGTGTGTGAAGGAAAGCTAACAAGTAGTTACTGTGCAAATCAGGAGTATTTTCAGCATTGGTAGTTGCACTGCATTTCTGCATTCCTGCAATGAAGTGTAAATGGTTTCCTTTGAGACCAAAATACGTTAAGAAAACCAACTGAAGGGCAGCAGTAGAATATTTTTGTCTTCAGGTTAGATCTGATTAAAAAGTAATCCTTACAAACTGCTTACCATTACTAGAAAGGCAAAAGCTACAGCTGTGTTGAGTCACTTTTGCCTCTAGAATTGTACTTAATCCTTATTTGTCTTAATATAGCTGCTGAAAGGTTGAAAACACACACACCTTTGGAAGATACCAGGCCATCATGAGCTGGTTGTTTCCTGTAATTCCTCTCACATGGGAGGTCTAGCCATAATGAAAGTGATGGTACTGTAACATGTGCCTGAACATTACTGATGCCATAGTGTACATGTGTCAGGTGCATTTCCATAGGCTGCTGCCATCCAGCTCCAGAGGCACAACTATGCTCTACTTCTCTAGAGCCAGAGTGAAAAATAGGTGCTGTTATAACTGCCCCGTTCGAGGTAAATGATCAGTCAGACTCCAGAGCTAATGATGTGTTTCCTATCCCAGCCTGAATCCAGACATTGTGCTGACCTGCTCCTTAGTCAGAGTACCTAGAGAACAACAAGTAATACAATGTTTAATATTTTTTTCTTCCATTCAGCTCTTCTGCAGTAGTGTAAAATAGTTCCCCCCCTCTTCTCGAGCCTTAACGTTTTTCCAAGCTGTAAGCATTGATAAGTTTGAATGCTAGGACCACACACTTTGTGGTGTCTTGGATTATAATATGAATCTATTCTTTGGTGCATAAGATGTTCCATGTTAGACTTAACTGAAAGCCAAAGAATTTACATTGCAGAGACTGGCATGATGCAAAGGCAACAGCAAATCAAGGACTGAATTCTGCTGTCTCATGTGCACAGAAACTCATGAGGAATGAGGTTTGCTACAGGCTAATTTGACTAATCTGTCAAGATGCTGGGTTTTGTCCATCATATGGAGTAAGTTGGGTTGCTTTTCTTTTTTATTAAAAAAAAAAAAAAAAAGGCAAAACATCAATGAACTTTTAAACCAGTGAATTTGTCCTGGTTCTTCACCTCACTGTGTCCAGAACTTTTGATTCTGTTCAGTCTGAAAACATGTGATGGTGAAAAAGCCACAGTGAAAGCTAAGTGTTGTACTGGCAGATGTATTGGATCAACATGTGTACTTCTGCCTTTCAGGAAGCCTTTATTATGTTTTTAACAACTTTCTAGTGAAGCACAATCTCATGAGTTTCTTGTATAAAATCAAAGTGGTACAATTGTTTACACTGAGATTTTTTTCTAAATAAAAACTTTTTAAAAAAGCAGTCTTTCTATAAATGATACAGCACAATGAATATACAGTGACAAGTGCAATAAATTATAGCTTGTATTTACAAGAAGCCTTTTAAATGCAAGTAGAGGTAAGTGCATTTAATACAAGTTTAATATTGATCAAAACAATTTGCTATTAGCTTCTGCTAGACAAACCATGGCTCTACGCTGCATATCCTTTATACCAGTTTGTTAGTTGCATGAGTTGAAAGGGAAAGATTGCAAATGTTGTTGACATTCTGTCTTCCTGTAAACAAACTGTCCAGCTAGAGAATGAATGGCCCCTAAGCTTTTACGTCTGAATTACAGCTGAAGAAGTGTCCTGACTTCCTTCCTGGGCAAGTGGTAGTAGATGAGGCAGCTCCACGTGGGGAGTGGAAGGAAGTTGCATAAGAGCAAGTGTAAAAATTTGTATTGCTCAGTCAGATGGGAAGACTCAGCCAGGGTGTGAGTTCAGGGTAGTGTTTCTAACACAGGGTGCAGCCATGTCATCTTACACTTGCAAGATCAGAGTTAAACGGTGCTGGGACCATAAGAGAACTGAAACATCTGCTTTGGCACAATTTTAGATGCTTACTGTCATGACAGATGTCAGAAGACTAACAGTCTAGGTGCAGTAACTGGTCCTTCTGGCCACAAGGATCTTGCATGAGATGTACACTCTGTGGCTGAAGTGCTAACAACACTTTCTTTAGCTTCTCTGCCTCTCCCCCTCATCTTCCCTTCCCACCCCCAAAGAAAGACCTCACTTGTTTTGGATGTTGAGTCCTCATCTGGTGAAACTGCAGCACATATCCAAGCACCTGCTACAGGTCAAGCTTCTCTGTGAGATTAAGACCATCCCAGCCAAATAAAGTGTGTGGGCATTTTGCTGCTGCTGAGCTGAGCTGGGCAGCCACCGCAGTGTAGGGTCAGTCTGTAAGAAGTCCAGCAGTTTGCTCCCACCCTGGGGGGTGGTCCCCACACCCCTTCCTCCCACAAGGCACATACATGGTGTTCTGAAGGGTGGTTCATCACATGCTTTTTTTTTTTTCCCCAAGGTCGTGAAAACAGGGAGGGTTGTATCCAAGTTCATGGCAGCATCACAGAGTCCGTGTGAAGACTGTTTGTCAGTGACATCCACAAGCTCTTACTACCATATTCCTGTATTTCTTCAAGATTACATTAGAATTATCATCAAAGTAAAGGACAGATATGGCATTTAGTTTGGTAGGTGCACAGCATGGTTTGGGAACGTAATCAGGATTCATTAGATGAACCTGTTGCCAAGAAAGAAAACACAACTGAGACACTGGTATATTGTTCACAAGTTCACCTGGTGCTTTGGCACTGAGCTGCCTGGGGACTTACCAGAGTTTGTACAATGGCATGATTGGTTGCGTTCATATGGGCGTTGAGTGGGAACGAGCACTCCCCATCACAGTAGTTGGCTGCGTAGCCTTTTGGAGCGATTATCCAGTCCTTTTTAGGGAAACAAACAGAACGTGGTTCAACAGACAACTGCACACAATTAGGAGCAGCTGAAAATTTTCCACTAACTTCTTCCTTGAGGGTGAAAATGTGTTTTCACTGAAACCACTCGGGTTTTAGTTGAGTTTTTTTTTAATTTCTTTTTGTGTGTCACTTTTCCATGGACACAGTGATTTTAATGTCCAAAGAATGATGCACATCTATGTACAGCTCAGCTACTATTAACTAAGAGGGCTTCACCCCTAAAAATCTCGTTGGGTTGCATTGTGGGGAGTGTGGTTTGGAGGCCTTTATTTCCAACATTTCCTGCAGGCCCTCTGGCTGAAATACCTTTCCTAGGTTGAGTCACAGCCACAGCTAGTGTTCCTCAGAGACAGCCTAGCTTATACACTCTTATAGAGTGATACTACTCTGCTAAAGACACTGTGAGAAATCTTAGCTGCCAAACAGCTTCTCCACATCTGCCTGACTCCTAGAGGAGGGGCAGGACAGCCACCCTGAGCTGCATGAGCAAGCAGGTAGCCCCACTGGCAATCTGAGTGCCATGCTAGGCAAAAAGGGGACTCTCCACCAAAGGAAGCTTGTCTGCTGCTGACACAAAAGAGCCAAAGTAAAATTAAAAGCAGCACCATGGAACAGGAGACATTTGGCCTCCCTTGGTGTTGGGCTCTGCAGGTCGCCCTTCAGAAGGGCGTACCAGTATGTTTCACGTGCATGTATCTCTTAGGCAATTTCCACTCTACCTGACAATTACCTAAGTTTGCCTGAATTTTGCTACAGCAGGGCTGAGGAGCCACACACTGTTGCTGTAGCTTTGCTAACCAAGTTTGTTCTGAAGGAAACAGCAGTGCCCAACAACTGCAGGGCGCTCTACCTTGCCTTGCTCATCTTCCTACAAGAAGTAGGACCTGGATTCCAGCTCTTAAAATGAGCTCTGCTGGTCTGTGGCCTTCCTTTGGCAGCATCTTACCTTTCTGCAACTAGAATGGTGAAGGTAGTCCCTTCAAGATCATGAACTTCCCAGCTGGAATTCACTTCCTAACCAAAAGCAGGGCAAGTAAGATTAAGGAAGAGGTGGAATGTCTCTGCTCAAGTGAAAAGTCACCCATAAGTAATGGGGAATAGAGTCACCACACAACCACAGTTGCAGCTACTGGGCTGGAGTTGACACGTGAGCTACAAAAAATGCTGCTATCCCATTAGCTGAGAGAAGATTTGCATGTGTTGGGTATTACAGAAGCAGCAGGGACAGCACTGGCATCCTGAATTATAACCTGGTAAAAACATTAGCTGATGATAGAAATAGGACCTCCCTCACGAGTGCTGAATGAAAGAATGAAAAAAAAAATTTGAAAAAGAGAAGGTGAGGGCATTCTTTGAAATATGATGTTTGTTTGCACTATAGCCTGGTCCTAAATAACTTACTCTAAACAACTTTCTGGCCTCATGGTGTTGCAACTAAACTCAGTCTTCAGTCTACCTACCGCAGGCAGTGCTAATTGTGGGGCAGGGATTGTGGAGGATTTCAAACAATGGCCAAGGTTAAAATCAGGGTGATCACTAGAAAAAAATTTAGTTAAAATCACTGCTTAACATCAGATTGTTTTCCTTATCATTAGAGGTACACAGATATAAGCCCTTGCCCATACCGTGACTCCCATGAGTGACAGAGAATGACTGTATACTTGAATCCCATAAAGTATCAAGCTTTCTCTGGGTCTTATCAAATGTCACAACTATCCATATTTATTTGCCTTCTCTGTGACTGGTTTTAGTGAGGAGGCACAAGGGACATTTTAAAGCATAATGGCAGACTCGAGTGGAATTACCGTGACACTGTTTAGATAACATTTCATAACAAAATGTCTGGTTTACCCAGGGAGAAACATCACACACCTGCCATCCCAAGTCTTGGAAGCTAACGTAAAGCTCATGTTTTCTGCACGCTGTTTTTAAGTCGCTG